CTACCGAACCTGCTACCGAACCTTCCACTGAACCTTCGACTAAACCCTCGACACAGTCTTCTACCGAACCTCTAACTGAATCTTCGACCAAACCTTCGATAGAATCCTCTACCAAACCATCTACCGAACCTTCCACTGAACGTTCCACTGAACCTACGACTGAACCTTCGACACAGTCTTCTACCGAACTTTCTACTGAACCTTCGACCAAACCTTCGATAGGATCCTCTACCAAACCTTCGATAGGATCCTCTACCNACCAAACCTTCGATAGGATCCTCTACCAAACCTTCGATAGGATCCTCTACCGAACCTGCTATCGAACCTTCCACTGAACTTTCGACTAAACCTTCGACAGAATCTTCTACCGAACCTTCCATTGAACCTTCCACCGAACCTTCTATTAAACTATCCACTGAAGCTTCCATTGAACCGTCTACCGAACCTTCCCCCGTAGTGATACCTGGCTCTGTTTGCGCTCCAGACGGTTCTACTTATCCTCATATTTGCTCTTGCGAAAATTACTATGTTTGCAAAAACGGCGATCTGGTTCTTCGAAAATGCCTTGCCGGCTACCATTGGAATTCTAAAGCAGAAAGATGCGATATAATTGGAATGGCGAATTGTATCAAAGAGAAAACTATGAAATGGTATTATATTTCGTGGATCTAATTTATCGAGCTTAGAGTAGTAGTATTTTTAATTAAATACATTTTAATAGAAAAAACATAAATGGACAGCTTATAACCATAAGAATGACAAAAAATATTAAAAAAATGTCGTCATTGATCCAAACCAAAAGTTTGTTTAACAAAAAAATCTCTCTTTGTGTTTTATTTTTTATAATGTAAGTAATAATAAGACTTTAGATATTGATAAAATTTGATTTCAATAATATCAAGTTTGCACTTTTGTATTGCATTGTAAACGTCATTGTTTATCGTAGATAAACGTCGATACGACAGTTATCTTTCACGTTATCATTTAGCGACATCTGCCATTACTTAAATAGGACTAAAATATCAGAAGGTAATAAGTATTACCTTCTTTGTTTCTGTGAGTGTAGGAATAGATCAATGACAGACTTTTAATATGAATAATTTAATTGAATCTAATGTCCAATTTGTTTTTATTATTGCACAATTTATTTTCTTGCTAAAAGTGATCATCGAATTTGTATAGAATGCAATTAGTTCTTAACTTGCAAAACATTGTTTCAATTATTCCAAATAATGTTTGCAAATATTTGAATACGAAATCATTTATTATTTCATATTAAGGTTTACAAAAAACAATTGTAATTTGATTTGAATTATATTCCCGTACATTATAATTATTATCAATCGTACGAACGATAATTGGAAGTTAACTTTAAAGATAGCTCGAGTAATTGTAAATATGAATCTACTCTTTTATTTAAACATTATTATTATTATTTTCAATATTATAATATTTTATTTATTCTGATGATTTTTTGATTGTATAAATTACTTGTTAAGTAATATATTGTACATCATAGTTGATACATTATTGTTGTTACTAATCTCTATCATTATTTATAAACTGTCCACAAAATTATAGAGATAGATGATTCTATCGTCGTATACGATATAAACATTTAGTTTTCGTGCGATGAGATTCCAAAAATGTTTATAAATATATACCTTCATAGAAAATATTATTATTATCATATAAATAAAGTGTTTATACAACGATTAAGTGTCGCAAAATATAACAGGAGAAAAACAATTAAATTACACGAAAAATATTAGTTTTTATTTATATTAAAAAACACATAAGATATTAAATATTTCATAAATTATATGTATAAATATGAAGTTATCTAATTACTTTACTACATTATATTGTTAGGCCCATACATCGAGGCCTCTTGGTCTAGGGGTATGATTCCTGCTTTGGGTGCAGGAGGTCCCGGGTTCAAATCCCGGAGGGGCCCGATTTTTTTTTCACCTCGTCGATACTGTTTTTTTTCCTTATTGATTCATTCACTGCATAAATTAATTATACTTTAATATTTCTAATAATAAAATTTGGAACAATATTAAATAGAAGCGGAACGAACATTACCACCGAGACGTTCGAAACTATTACAAATAAATAACCATCGATAATTCAGATTAAAGATTAACAAATAGACGAACAAAAATATTTATATAACAATTTTTTATATAAAAATAAAAAAAATGCGTAACACATATTGAACAATAATCTAACTCTGAATCTTCTTATACGAAATAATATCACTTGTGTCGTAATAATATATATCAAAAATATCCATTTATAATATCTATTATACATTTAGATAATATATCACAGATTTGTTCTATTCACCTAGTATACTATTATCCATTTTCAATTTCCTTTATTACGAATAAATGCGATTTAAAGCAAACGTAATAAAAAAAAAAAAGAAAAGAAAACTAAACGATAAAGGTTTAATCGAATTTGGCGCGTCGAACGATTTGACTTCGTAGTAAATTAAAGATGGCGGTTGGATGGTAGTGCGCATGCACCGCTTCCCAAATGGTCGAACAAAAACACAGCTGGTCTATGATCTCCGAGAGAGGCAGCTGACGGTCGAACGTAGAAGAACACGACGAACGCTTTCGACGTGTGATTTATTCGCGTGTGTGTTTTCTTCTCCCTCTCTGACACAGTGTGGTGTGTATCTCACCCGTCATTATTATTATACTCGGTCGTCGCGAAAAAATATAATATATCTATCAACGAAAGTTCTAATTAAAAAAGAGAAAAAAAAAATAACAAAAAGAAGAAGAAAAGGTTCATTCCTTTTGATTTAAGAGAGGTTAAGTAAGAGAAATAAAAATTTATGAATTTATATAGATAGGAATAGAAAGAGAATTCCTCTTTTAGTGTCGAAGAATCGAACGAACGAAGGAAGGAAAGAAAGAAAGAAAGAAAGAAAGAAAGAAGGAAAGAGAAAAACCAGTGATATAGTGAATATACGTTTTTAGTGTGTTTAAATGTGTATGAAGAAGCTCGTACGTTGTTCGTCGCGGTGTCGCCACGAGGGGATCGTTTTTCGTCGTCGTCCCTGGGATACAAAGGAGTCCAGGAACTTTTGGTTGTTGCTGATTCTATCCTCAACCCTAAGGTTAATATACATTTTTAAAAAAAAAATAACATTTATTATTCAATTTATAAACTTTGATCTATACTTGGAAACGCAAAGGGTTACCTTCAATTTGTATCTCTTTTAAATGATCCATTATACGTTTCTACGTATTTTCCACTTATCTTTTTTTCTTTCTGTTTTCTACGCATATACACACACACACATACACACAAACACATATGTATATATATTATATTAAGTAAAGTACTTATGAAATTTTTACACGTTAATTTGTTCTATCATTAACATTAGTGTTATCTTATTTGGAGATTAAAAATGAATAAATATCTATATATATATATATTTTCAAAAATAATACCGAGTAATT